AAGAGAAAGAGTGGCAAGATGCAACTACTAGCTGTCTGTCACATGGTAGGTGTCTTCTGTGAAAAATCCTTTCTGTAGTAGTGAAAATTGATTTTGCATGTACAAAAAAAATAACTACTGGTGTGTTCTGTGAAGGTGGAACCCTTGCCAGCATTGGAGATCCCTGGGAACAGGATTCATACTTAATAACATTAAACATTTCAAAACTCATACACATCTTATTGGCTGGGCCTGTTCAAAACTACTAAAGGTAATGAACATCACAAAAAGGCAGTGTTAAAGGAAAAATTAAACTGAACATGTGTCTTCTATGTTTTACAAAAATAATTTTACACTGTAAAATATTTGAGCCACATTTAGTTGTGTCTACTGTCTTCTACTCAGAGTCAATTACATTTTGTAATGATAAGCAAACTAAGCCAGAACCCAAAACGCAGCCAACACAGGAGAAAGTTAAATCAGAAGTTTTAATGACAAAAAATAATAATTTAGACGTGACTGAACGGGGTGGGAAAAAATGAGCAGAGATGGGAGGAGGGATCCACAGGGGACAGGGATCCAGCCGGGGGTGGGACGAAGTAGGATGAAAGGACAACAGACAGTCTTGGGGGCTCAGGGAACAAACAGACCACAGGGGCAAAGTCCACAGACCAGAGACGGAGTAGAGAGACGATCCAGGGTCATACACAGGAGAGCCACAGGCACAGATAATCCAGAAAACAGCAAGCAGGAGGCAGGGTCGGCGACAGGCAGGGTTCTTTAACAGGAGATCAGAGTACTTTCAGCAGCCGAAGGACAAGGCAGAATCTAAGGTCAAAAACAGGCAGGATCAGTAAACCAGAAAACTCCTTGAGACATGAAACAATGGCTTGAAAGCTGTGACGAGGGCAACAGACGATCTCGCACTTAGCTGGTGAAAATCAGCTGTATAAATAGGGAGCAGCACAGTGCAGGTGAGAGTGAGCTGATGAGCAATCAGCGCAGAAGGTGGAGCAGAAACACTGAAGTCATGACACATTTAGCGAGTTTTAGATTTTGAACCTACATGTGTGAGTTTGTGAAATATAAACTTATGTAGTAAGTGGTGTCAATTTTTTTATTTTTTTATTTTTTCAAACCTCTAAGAGTTTTTAGTTTAGCACTTATAAAAAAAAAAAGACAGGAGTGGGAACTGTTTCCCAGAATGCTTAGCAGCATGTTGTTGTATCCTGAGATGGAAGTGTGTTAGATTGATCTGACTCTTGTGTCTTATTAAGGAAAATGTCTATTTTCAGCAATCCTTAGCTTACAAAGCTTGAGGATAATGTCCTGTTCACGCTGAATATTTGAGAGCAGAATGCATCGTAATGTTTGATGAAATTTATTACCAGATCAAAAATTTTGTTCATGCAATTTGAAGCAAGAATTTAAATTATTCTAAAGTAATTATTTAACCATTTAGTTAATTAAGTAGTTAGCTAAAATAATCTTGTCTTCTTGTGAGTGAAAATAATAGAGAAATGTGTGCTCTTTAACTAGATGAAGACAGTTATTTCTTTCATATTGTGAAATAGTTTGATTTAAATTGCAGCATTCAGTTAAAAATCACAATTCAAGATTAATGAACTTAAAAAACAATGTTTATGAACTTTACTTTCAGAGTTAAAACAAAACAATTTTCATGTTTACTGAAATTGCATGTTCAGGCACCCATCAAATGTTTTACAATGTATTTGTAATTTATTATTTATTTCTATTTTTAAACATTTTAGATATTCCATAAAATACAGAAAACAATAAAATAAATATCTGTCTATCCCCAGGAGAATGGATGTGGTTGGATAAAACGGTCATGGATTTTCAAAACTGGCAAGATTATCCGTTTCGCTCCTACGGCATGATTAGTGCATCAGACGGGAAATGGCATACGGGGAATCGATGGCAAGACAGACCATACATCTGTAAAGCAGCCAAAGGTAAAAACTTTACAATGAATTCAATCTCAACTATCAAAATCACTTCAATAGCATTTCAGACAGTTCCCTTGCTGTAGTAAAAGATCGTAGTGTAATTAATTTTATTGTCTTTGGTCTTATATTTTCTTTACAATGTAAACTTGATATTTACACTGTATCAAATGAAATATTTCTGGTACATTTCCTCAGTTTTTTAAACTTTGTCCATTTGTTTGACTTTGTTAAAGATCATATTGATACCTCTTTCATTCTTTTGAGGAAAATAGCTGCCTAAAAGCTGACATTTCACAGTAAAAGCCACATAGACAAACATGGTCCTCTCAACATTACAGTGCAAGTAATTTAGAATTTGTTAGCAGCATGCAAATAATTTCTACCAATTAAAAAGAAACCAAATCTGCAACATTTTTTGATAAGGTTTTCTTTTTCTTTCCAGTGTTACCTCCAAAGCCATCACCCAAACCAAGTGAGTCATGCTTTCATCTTTTTCTATTTGGAATTTTTTTTTCTTTCTCTTCATCTACTTTTTTTTCTCTGCAGATGTTGCCATTGATCCTCAAGGTCGGGGTCACACGGCTTTAGTAGCTGTGTTTGTCATTGCTGGGATCGCAATGGGAGCAGGTATTGCTTTCTTCCTGTTCAAGAAGTCTGGTCATCAGATGACTCTCATACCAATCCCTGGAGGGTTAACGGCCTTTGATAACCCACTTTTCAGCAGCAACCAGTCACAGAAAAATTTGGTGGACACTAAAAAACTGCTGGGGAACGCAGATGAAGATAACAGTCAACTGTAATAACTATATAATTGTAAAAGACAGCAGATGGTGCATGGAAGTATTCTCTGTTATGGCTGCTTAGGATCAATGTAAATGCAAAGAATGATTTATACAAGAAGATGGTGTAACAATTAATTAACTGGAATGTTAATTCAAGTAGCTTGGATGTATATTGTATTCTAACTACTGCAAAAGTTTAATTGCCAATGAGAAAGAAGACATGAACACTCTTTGACTCAAAGTAGTCATTCATTTAGAAATGATGCAACACCTCTCCAAATATTATTGTTAGAAAAATGTGTTTGCAAAAAAGATCAAACAAGACACAATTCACAAAAGGTAGAAAGTCTCTATAGATGTTTGATTGTAATTCAATTCCCAGCATGGAGAAAATGCAAAGTTATACAGTTGGTATATATACAGTTGGTTCTCTGACTAACAAAGGAAGTTATCTTGCTACACTTCCTATGTGATTTGTGCAGATGTAAGGTGTTTTTTGGCAATCCTGCAAAAGCACCTAGGACTATTAGTGTCTTATCTTTGCTGACAGTCCTCCAGCAGGAAATGAACTTATGAACTTAGATTCCTTACGTCTATAATGCTGCAATGTGTAAGTTTCACTTCATATGTAATGTTATTCTGAAACCAGGATATGTCAAAAAGCATATATAGAAGGATTGTCCCTATTCTTAAATGTGTCTGAATGATAACATTAATTATTTTCTTGACTGTATAATTTTATTGATAAATTAGATCTGTTTTGTAAAGTGCCTTAAAATGACCTTTGTTTGAAATAGGCCTTATATGAATAAAATAAAATGAATGAAAGTGAATTGATGTAATTTGTGAATTCAAATTAAATTGGAAGTAAAATGCTTTGGCGCTTGAACTACGGCAGAAGATGTGTGTGCTGAGAATCCAAAACTTATGGTTCAGATTCTAACTTCCTCCTGCCACATGTTGGTGTCGGGCAAAGCACTGAACTCAAAGGTGTTTGAGGCAGAGCAGCTCAATTTTTTAGACAGATTAACTGTCTCCTAGTATACAGTCACAAAATAGTTAAAAAATATATCTATATATTATGTATTGATCTAAGACAAGTAACAAGTTATAACAATAAAAAAGCTGGTTTCCAAAGTGAGCCAGGGCAGCTTTGCTCTACAAAATTAATATCTGGAAATGGTAGCTATTAACAGAAGTTTTATATTTGACATCATATTAGACAGATGAATAAATAAAATATTAACCTTCATCCATCTGCGTTACTTGCGTGAGTGTCTGTCTGTGTGTGTTAATTTATCATCTGGGATAACAAGACGTTTCAAATATGAAAAGAATTGAATCATGCATCTCCCCAGGGAGGCAAGGAGTGGGCAGCCTTGAATGAATCACAAAGAAGTTCTTTTTACCTGGACAAACACTTTCAGTTTTGGTGATCCCGATGTGCCCTCTCAAAATCTGAATAGTTGCTTTTCTTTGAAAATAATCATGAAAATTGTTTTGTTCCTTTATTGTTTTATTTATTTTTGGTTTGTTTTTTTAAATTAAAACTCAGCAAGAGCTATTATAATGCTCAAAGTGTTTCTTGGACAACACAACACACTTGAATGTGAACTTTAAGCATTAACTGAATCAAATGAGGAAATCAAAAAATTGGGTTTGAGAAATTAAAAATGACAGTCAGCATTCTGAAGACTTCCTTTTTGCAAGTTTTGCAAAAAGGAAGGATTTTAGTTACCTAAGGCAAAGTGATTTGATTTACTATTAAATTGTGCTGTGCACATTAAACCGCAGTTTGACTCATTTCCTGTTTTTTTGGACTTTTTACGTCAGATTAAAAAAAAACAGAGAAATTGTGAAAAGCTTAAGACATTTACTCTTATGGTGAGTTTATAAAAATGTACCTTTCTGGATTTATTTCAGTGCTTTGTTTTGTTGTGTTGAGTCCTGCATTGGATTTAGGATGATTATCTTAGCAAATAAACATGTAAATTATTTCAAGTTATTAAATAGGTTAAATGTTTTTTGTTTTTTTTAATAATACACTTCTCACTGAAATACTTGAAAATGCGTTGATCTGATTTTAATCAAAAAATAAATAAGTATGAAACAAGTCTATCAGAATTCTGACTTTAAGGAAAACCTTGAAAAGGAGATTTAGTGACGTGTTGCAGCGGAATAAGTCAGTGACTAAATCCTTCCCTTTTCTGAAATCTCTAACATCACTTCTACATTTTCTGCAGGCAACATATGGATTAAATGCTCAGCTTTGGGGCATTTTAAAGGTTCATAATGCATTTCTTGTGTGTGATCCTGGGGCTTCTTTTTGCACATTCCCATTCTTTGGAATCAAATGGTACAGTATTCCCACTTTTGATAGCAGGATGTTTGTGAGTTTCTGTTAAAATGCATGGGTCTAAGCTTTGTTTTCAACCATTGCACATGGATATTTGAAACAGTTTAACACCAGATTATTATTTTTAATCAGCTACTGTTATTGAATTGTAGACTTTTTTTCCTTTTACTTTTTTTAGTTACTCATTGAACTGTTTTGAACAATTTCTCTTTTCAGATTCACCATTTCAGCTTACCAACAGGCACAGAATTTTGCTTAGTTAAAGCTGGCAGCAGGTGCGACGACATACGCTGGACAACTGGCAATCGACTGCTGGTTCCCAGGGTGAATAATGCCTGGGAGTTCAGGGAAAAAGTGTCGGGAATCAAGTGAGCCTGTACAACTGTGATGAAACAAGTGAACTCCAAAAGTGGGGAATGTAAGAATGAAACGGTGCTTGCCCTCCAAGGCCAGGAGCTTTATATGGAGCTTAGAGCAGATAACCAAGCTGTACTATCAAAAGCAATGGGACCCAACAGCCAACTCACCATTTCAGGGATATCTAGTGGAGCTTGCACAAGAACCTATAGAGGTAGGAGACTCTCTTGCTGTTTTTCATTATTGTTCAAGGCTGGGTGGTCTATTGTGATCTTACTGTTTGTTGTAAGGCTCAGTATTTCTTTAATTAAAAGGATATAAGTGTGTTCATTATATCACTTCTCTGTTTTTATGCACTTACTTTACAGAATTTTATACAATTGAAGGGAATGCGGCGGGAAGGCCCTGCATGTTTCCCTTTATGTACAAAACTCAGTGGTACTCAAGTTGCACTTCAGTCGACACTGGAAACGGCAGGCTTTGGTGCTCAGTTGAAACAACATTTGAAAATCAACTGTGGGGCTATTGCCCAACCAGCAGTGAGTACTGCTACAAAGTTTTGTTTTGGCGATAAGAGAGATACATACTTAAAGTGTTTCCTAAAACTATTCATACTGTTTGAACATTTTGCAGATTTTACTGCAGACCAGCACAAAATATTGGCTAATGATGAAGTATAAGGAAAATGGTGTAAAGCATTAGTTACCACTTTATAATGTCTTGTTTGATGTCAAACATATTTTACCTGAGTGAATAAGAACATTAAATTTTCAAGTTTTATGACTTAATTTATTTAAAAGCTATGCAACGTCAAGCATTTACATTTTGAATTTTTTGGTCACTCTCGGAATATGGCTTTGGTTTAGAAATGTGCTCCAAACCCACTCTGAGGCCTGAAGATCTAACACGTTAATACAAAATGGATCTTTCACATGACATTCCAAAAATAATACACTGAAGATTAAATAAATATGCAATCTTTCACAGATAAAGACAACTGGATTAAGGATCCGATAAATGGAGCAGCATACCAGCTGAACATCGAGTCTGCTCTGACGTGGTGGCAGGCTGAAACCAGCTGCAAGCAGCAGAACGCTTCCCTCCTAAGTATCACTGATCCCCATCAGCAAGCTTATATCACAGGTAAAGTGATAAAAAGCAAACGCATTCATTGTCAAATGTTTAGCTCTTATATATTTAGTGAGGCATGTTTTATGAAAAGGATGTTTGAACTCATCAAACTCATATTTGAACTGTTCTTTGTCTCTGCTTCAGCAAATAGGAGATTTTCCTCCACAGTGCGGTTTTAGGAATGCATTGTTACCTGCTGACAAAACAGGAAAAACAACCATCCTAAAATAAAAGCTTGTGACATTTTTTGCCAGAAGTGATTTTGGCAAAAAGTGACATCATCCTTTGGCAGAAAGTGGTTCAATGTTTAATGCAATAACTGTCCAGTCATTTGAAAATAAGTAGAAATCAAATTCAATTATTGAATTAAAAACCAAATCAAAATATTGGATTAAATATAAAGCGAAATTGTGCCCATTTTTTTTTAAGATTAAGATCATAAATCAAATCTTTATTTTGTACTCAAATCAGTTGAGCTTCAGACGATGGTTAATCCTCATAATTTATTTATTCAATTTTCCATCTTTGACTTCACTCTTTCAGAACTACTCAAAGCAGGACGTAACAAGCAAGGGTATAAATTTTGGACTGGGCTGAACTGCCATATACAATATGGCAAGGAGTTTACACAACATGGCTGGAAGTGGTCTGATGGGAGACCGTTACGTTACCTGAATTGGGATTCAGGTAAGTTTTATTTGCATTAGCACTCTGCATATTAATACTTGGAGAAATATAGAATTTATACATTACACACAAAAACTCAGTGTTAATGACTTGGATGATCATATTTTCAGGGCACCCATTTTCTAGTCATCTACGTAATTGTGGCCTCATTGATGGTGCTGTGACGTTTTCATGGCAAAGCTTTAAATGTGACAACGAACTGGGATACATCTGCTACAGTAAAGAAGTTCTGGCTTCTCCAACTAAAGGTAACAATAAAGTTCTAAATCTTCTCTCTGTCAATGTAAATTAAAACACATTTTCTGTTACTTTGCAGGCCTTGACGTGGGATTTTGCTCAGCACCTTGGATTCCATATAATGGCCGCTGCTTCCACATCTTTCGCACTGAAAAAACCTGGTCTGATGCTCAGTTAGCTTGTCGTCGTGAGGGAGGGGACCTTGTAAGCGTCTACAATAAGGAGGACCAAAGCTTTGTCATCTCTCAGCTTGGATATGGTACGTTACTAGTAGGCAACATGAGTAAACTATCTGCTTCTCAATTGCCAGCTTTAAGCAAAACTTTGCAAACTTCACTTTGTTGCTTGTTTACACAAACAAAACAAAAAGAGTCAGTGACAGAAACAAAAAATAAACACATTCTGTTTCAAACATGATCAAAAAATTAGTCTATTGCAACCTAGTTGCAAAGTGAAACTTCATACAGTTTGTTAGTGAACTTTACTTTATTGTAATTTTATAATTTGGAAACAATTACGTTTTTTTTTTTTTATCTGCAGAATCCACTGATGAGCTTTGGATCGGACTGAATGATAGAGAGACAGAAGGCTTGTTTGACTGGAGTGACCAGACCACAGTTAGCTTCACCAGCTGGGAGTCTTCACCAACAGCTGCAACTGACCTTCACGACTGTGTTCTTATGAGAGGATATGTAATATTTATATTATATTTATATTGCTTTATGTGTTTTATTATAAAGTCTATACAGAAGAAACATTAACTGGTGTACTTACTTAGAGACATGCTAAGTGCACATTTCTGAGTAAACTTACTTGTACATAAGTAAGTGGAAATGTACCTATGTACAAACCAAGAACACTATGGAACACTAAGTACAAGAAAAAATATTCCTGTAAAAAATTAATTAATTTCTCTCAAATAATACAAGAAAATATCTTGATGAATATCTAGACTGCCGCAACAACAACTTCTGTGGATGAAATGTATGTTTCAGGATGAATCATTTTTTCAATCTTTACTTATTGTAGGCTGGATATTGGGTTGACAGTAACTGTCAAGTCGAACATGGCTTCATTTGCATGAAAAATAGTACTTCTGAATCCTCAGGAGATGGAGTAGACCTCAATCTGGGATGCAAACATGTGAGTTAAATTCTCGTTTGATTTCATAATATTTTTGACACCCAATTCAAAAATATGTTGCGTTTTTCATGTCATATAACCTGTTTAAAAGCAGCATATTTATAGAAACAGGCAACAACATATTTCTAATTCAGTGCAAGAAAAGACAAAGGCAGACAAGGCAGAAATTTCACTCTCGCTTAAGAATTTAATAAAAGTGTAATTTCCAGTAAGAGGAAATCCAACTTGTTTTACAATACTTACATGGTAGTAAAAACAAAGGGGAACATTATGTACTGACACGACCATCTAACTTTTATTTTCTATGAAAGGGTTGGAAAAGACATAGATCCTACTGCTACTATATTGGGACTGAGTCTAAGACATATGATGAAGCAAAAGATCATTGCAAGAGAACCAGTTCCTACCTGGCTGATGTTTCAGACAGGTAAAATAATTCATTATGATTCAAAAACATTCTGAACAGAGGATCTAGATAAGTTGTTTCAAACTGCAGTTCTCAGTGTTAAATATCTAAGTGTGCTATAGATTTTAGGAAGTGAAGTAAAACATTACATCACCTTTTTACTATCCAAATACCAATAATAATAATAATAACAATAAAAAACAACAAAGTTTATAAAGCTGTCCATACTTTTCAGACCTTTTGACTAAAATGAAAACTCAAAATGCTTTAATTTTTTAATAAACTGAACATTTCTCCAGGGTGGATAATGCCTTCTTAATCAGCTTGGTTGGTCTGAGACCAGAGAAACATTTCTGGTTAGGGCTTTCAAACCAGAAGCACCCAGGGGTCTTTGAGTGGACCAGCATGGCCCCTGTGAGATATACTCACTGGAACAGTGAAATGCCAGGTACCAGAACATTTGTGTTTGTATAATGTGTTTGAAAGTAACTTTTAAAATGACAACTTTAAATTTTTCTGCCAACAAGGCCACCAAACGGGCTGTGTCGCAATGGCCACTGGTACTTCTGCCGGACTGTGGGACGTTTTGCCTTGTATAAACAGAGAGAAGTACATCTGCAAATATCAAGCAGAAGGGACAGCTACCACTCCTGCACCAACATCTCTCCCATCTGACAAATGTCCAGTTGAATGGACCAAAGTCATATCAAAACCCATCTGCTTTAAGGTAAAAAGTAAATTTCTTGGATGTACTATGCTGTGATCACGAGACAAATATCAACATGATAAGGAAAATACAAAAGCAATCTGGTAAATTGGGGACATTGAGACTTTACCCATAGGTCAATAATACAAATTTGTCTAAAATTTGTCATATTTTCTAAATATGCAAAAGAAATAACTAATGATATTATAGTGATTAGCTGAACTTCTTGAATACCATTCATTACTAGCTTATAATACACATTAATTTTCTTGTCTTGAAGGTGTTTTCAACAAATTTAAAAATGAGGACATGGTTTGAGGCCAGAGATTACTGCACAGCGATTGGAGGAGACCTTCTGAGCATCCATAGTGCCGCTGAGCTGCGCTTGCTGCAACAATTGTACAATATACCTTTGTCTAACATAAACCACCATGAGCTATCAATAATTCTCTTGATTAAGTTTTCAGTTGGTTTTCGTCAACATGACGTAAATTTGCAGCAGCAGTTGAACAGCTTGTAGGGATAACAGTTTTTGCTAAAACACTACAAACAAATGATAATTAATTAGAAAAATAAATAAAACATAAACAATAAAATATATGTACAAAAATTTACACATTCACATTGGGTACTAATCATGAATGTATCTTTTTTTTTTAGCTATGGAAGAATTTGGATTGGACTGAGTGCTCCTGACTCAAGCAATGGTTATATGTGGAGTGATGGATCCCCAGTGCGTTCACAATTGTCTATTTCTCTCAAGCGGTTTCTGCAGCTCAGAAAGGAAATGAACTAATCACTAGAAGCTGTGTTGCTTTTCTTAACAGGTGAACTTTCAACACTGGAGAAATGGGGAGCCAAATAACAAAAACAATGCAGAAACTTGTGTTGAAATGTATACACATAATACGGGTAACTATGGGTCTTGGAATGATATTAATTGTGAAACATACAGACCCTGGGTGTGTCAGATCCATACAGGTAATCCTTAAGTCAATCCTAGTCAATATTATATTGTATTTAACACAAGTGTGCATTTAGCTACAGAAAGCCTTTCTTTAGCTAACTGCAGTGTTAACAATCTCTTTTTACAGGATTCACACCAAAGTCTCCTCCACCCGATATTACTCCATGTGAGTGGATCATTATTTAAAATATTTGGTTTGAAAATGATGTGTAATGTAATGTTCTGATAATCATTTTTCATAGCTAATATTATTAATTCACATTCACATTTTCCTTGATAAAAGCTAAAATTTCCATGTCATATAAAGTGAAGATCTGTGTGACTGAATTTTGATCATGATTTAAAACTTTTCTGATATTTTTCTTACTCGATTTAGCTCAGATTTGATTAATTTTTCAATGGAAATTGAAAAATGTTTTTAAACATGTATAGTATTGGACTGTAGATTACATATTAAAGTTTGGTGTCTTGTAATTACATCTGCATCCATTTGGTGAATGTTTATATCAACTTTACATGCACTGACATTTTATTATTGTTCTTGGTAAAATAAATCACTCAGATTGGACAGAGAGCATCTATGAATGTCATTTTTAAAAATGTTGCAATAGATATAGTTTAGAAATAGACTTATAAATTCAACGAAATGCGTTCATGCTTGTGGTTGTGACATGACAAAATATGAAAGAAATGTAATTGATATGAATATTTTTGGAAGGGCCTGTATGTGAAAATCTCACATTTGTTTAAATTTTGCATTTCTATACAGACTACAACTTTACATCTGATGGGTGGCTAAAATGGAAAGGGAATCAGTATTATATTAACAACCAGCGAACAGCCATGGAAGATGCAAGACAGTTCTGCCAAGACAGACATGGTGACTTGGTAACCTTTGAGAGTCAAGATGAAAATGCATTTTTGTGGAAACAGGTGAGCCCTGACATGTTTGATTAATTTTGTAATGAGAAAAATAAAATAATTCGTGATAATTAAAAAAAAGTTCAGTTTTTGGGATCGTTCCACACTGGATAAAACATTAAATACCTAAAGAAGATTGAATTAATGACATACAATGTGTTTCTTAACTTAATATGAACCAACTCAGTTTTTTGTTATCTGCAGATGTAGTGAAGTGAGAGGAGTTTCCTGTTTGAACATATTTGTCATAGACAAACTTGCTTCCTGTTTTGTTTTGGGTGTTTTTTTTTCTCACTTATTTTCAGAAAAAAATTTCTGGTTCTTATATTTCTGCACACTCACACTGAGATATTTGTGCTTAGATATATGTGAAATAGATGTGGTTAGACAAATATAGATCCTACTTGTGTTTAGGTACAGACAGAGTACATACCTTTCTGGATTGGTTTGACTGTGGATCTTGACCGAAGTGTTCAGTGAGTACAAAATGAAAACACATTTGTGAAAAACACTAGTTTCAAAATTAATTAATTTCATAACAAAAGTACACCTAATTTACAGTATCAGTGTTAATTAGTATTAATTAATTAAATTATTGCAAAAACACATTTATATCAATTGTGAGGTTTGAAAAATAATTGACTTGTTTGCCTTTGCTGCAATAAGATGGGTTGATGGTTCTCCAGTGTTATTCCAATGGTGGGAAGCTCATCAGCCTGATTTCAGAAATTTTGATGAGAACTGTGTTGTTATGACGACTGACAATGGTGAGCATTGTGATTCACTTACAAAACAAAACATATATTTTCACATGTGCCATTTTTACATGTTCATTCCCACATAAAAGTACAACAGCCAGTGCAGTTTAACAAGTTAACTAATACAACAAGCCTCCACAAAGGATTAAATTCAGCAGAAGAACGTGTTGTTAATCATGCAAGTAATTCAAAATTGTGGAAGTTAAACTATTGTTGACTCTTTCACAGGTTTTTGGCATGATTATAATTGTGGATTTGAATTCAAATCTATTTGTAAACGCAGTGGTTCTCCACCTGCAAATGCCACTGTGGTTCCTAAAGTGGCACCAAAAGGTGGCTGTGAAGATTCCTGGAAAATGATTAACTCTATGGTGAGAATTATGTGTCAGATTAACAATAACTCAGTATAGGATGGAATTATATGCTCTCTGGAACCGTCCTTTGAATATAAAAAACATACTTTCATTCTGCAAAATGTATGTCCCAACTTCAGTGTTACAAGATCATAAATGACCAGAAGTTGACATGGAATGGAGCAAGGGATCAATGCAGAAACATGAGTGGAAACTTGGCTTCTATTGCTTCCAGACAAACCCAAGGTTTGTTTCACTTTAAACATTCAGATTTTCTTAGCCCTGACTCTTTCTGATCATTATGTTCATAAACATAATCCTGTGAATTCAAAGTCAAATGGTCTGAACCCACCTGTGTTTGCTGTGCAAGTAGAATCTTGAAATTTTAAAAAGTTCTAAATGCTTATTGGAAATTGACTTTAAATTGTATGATGATCACACAATCATCACACTTTTGGCAGTACATTTATTAAATATAAATTAATACAAACACTGATGGAAATTCATTTATCTTTAATGAGACAGAAAAATAGTGATGGTATCAGTAGTACTGAAACTAGTAAGAATAATGATTTATTCTTACTGTTGCTAAGCTATTATAACATGTTGACTTGTACTTAAGCATATAGAATAAACACAGCATAACAAGCTGATAACAGATGCTTCCTCACTTCGGATTTCTGTTCAGGTAGAGGCCGCCTCTGTATGCTTAATAGACACGCTATTTGCAGCTTGAACTGTGTTTTTATTTATTTATTTATTTATTTATTTATTTATTTTTACCTGTTTATTTATTTTTTGTCTGTAAACTTTCAAGTGGACTTTGTTTTTATATCTAGTGTCTTATGGATATATGTTAAGAGCTGAGGGACATGATGTAAATTATATTTGGGCTACAACCTGCCATATTTGAGAAAACTATATTTGAGCTCATTTATATGCACTGCCTCTGCATCTTAAACTACTTTCAGTTCAACAAACCATTTATGTCTGCTTACTTGAGTTTGCACCCCCTGGCTAAAGCTAGTTTGTTTTCTGTTTATAGTGTTTTTAGTGTCTCAAATGTCTGAGAATCCCACTTCAGACCTGTGGATTGGTTTTCATAGTGCTTACAAGACTGGGTTTTACTGGACTGATGGACGACCAAAGTCATTTATCAACATACATTTTGAGGTAAGTAAGCACTAATTTGTGTTTTTAAACTAAAAAAAAGCGTGCATATTGCAGTACTATGTGATGATGTATGAGCAAAGATTTAATATTTTTGGTGTCTCATTTTAGGAACGTCCCTTTGTAAGCCTTTTATCTCTTGATGATGATGACATATTCCCGGTAAGTTGCAAAATTCACTTTACACAGACACAGTGTATAATAGACTTTACATACATTAAAATGCTGAACAGCAGAAGACATGAATGAAATTCATAAATGAAATTCAACCTTTATAACTAGTAAACAAACTAACAATCGATATACGTTACGTAATATGTTCCTTTATAATAATATTAATAGGTAAAAAATTGTGCAAAAGATACACTTACCACATATCACTAATATTTTTTTTTGGAAAACAATAAGGATATTTTACAAATTATATTTAATAATGAAACATCTGAACTGAATATTGAAAATGATTGTAAATTTGCTGTACTGTGTATAACATCCTGTCTCACTTTTTGGTGTAACACTGGCAGTTGATTTGAAAGGCCGACAAATCAAATTTTTTGAAACAGGGCTGTTTAACTGAAATTTTCAAAGGAAACTGTAAAAGTTTTGACATCTGTATTTTATTTTCAGATGCCGTATAGGAGCGAAATTAGTGTAAGTTATCTGTCAATCAGTTCATCCACCCTTTGCATTGATTTTAGGTCATAACAGCATTTCAAGTTGAGCCATAAAGATGGCATTTCTAGGTATATTTTGTTATTGTTTTATATAAAAAAATATATATATATAGGTTATTAAAAGGCAAGTAGTTATTAAAATGCTGATTTATCTATCTATTCAAATATCCATCCAGTGAGCTTAACTTAATTACTTAAGTGTTATTTGTAAAGTTGCTATTTTGTCACTTTGTCATTGTGTAGTTTTCTCAAAAAGTGGCAGCCCCAATGTATTAAGTTAAAAAAGACACAGTGCATGTAAAAATAGTTGTATGTGGAATCCACATACCCTTTATAACAACAAATTAAAATGGAAAAAAAAACATGTATAGATGCAAATGTTTTATTTTACATAAAATATTTAGAAAGCCTAATGTTTCATGTGAAGATTGATTTGTTACCTGTTGGATTTTGTCTAAATTGTAATGTAAACACTGAATGACTATGGCATTATTGCACAATAGCTTAATTTATTAGTCTTTCTTTGCTCTGTATTCTGTTGTCTGATGAACATGTTATAAAGATTTAATACTTGGGTCTATTTTCCAGAGCTATCTGAAACCTGCAGTAAGTAGTACTTCATTATTAATCCTAACAATCAAAACTAACATGGTCCTTGTCTAACAGTAAAATCTTAATATTCATAGTTGTAACGTCATACCTATTTTATTGTAAATTGCTATCTTATAGAAAGACACTGCCTGTCTGATCTAAGCTTGCTATCAGTTGTATTGTAACACACTGTAATGATGGCAACCTACCTGTAATTGGTAGGTTGCCAGTTTGAATCCCCAAATTTTTCTCAGTTGTTGTCTTTGGGCAAGAAGCTTAAGCTGCTTCGCCCGTTGATGGTATTTAGAAAGATCGGTGTCACTGGTACACTGTCCACACAGAAATTTAATAAATTAGTCAGTTATGGCTTTGACATAACATACTTTTGTATTGTTACACATGATTTGCGTTATGTTTTACGCTAGAGTGGGTCCCTGGCATTTGTGGAGTTTAGGGAAAACAACTGTCTTGGAAAATAAAGCTTCCAAGACACAACCAACAATGAATGACTGATGGTGAACTGTATATGAATCTCTTTTTTTAAAGGGAGTCTTTTTCTTCTTCCATCACAGTATCGGTATCAGGGAACATGTGCTGTTATCAACACCAAACCTTCACTTGGTATTGGTAAATGGATACCAAAGACCTGCAATGACACCAATGGATTTATATGTGCAAAAGCTGTTGGTAAGTCAGAATCAAGAGTACGTCATTGTAGTTGAAGGTCATGATTAGCAGAAATAAATCCATATTTTTATTGTTTCTTCAGTTTTCAGAAACCTTTTTTGGGGTCCAATGAAATTTATTCCACATTGTTTGTTTGTGGAATAAACATGGAGTTTATTCATGCTGGATACATGCTGGATCATGTATGTTTTGATCCAGCAAAACATACATGATTTTGGTGGATCATGTATGTTAAATCATAAAACTACTAGGAAATGCATCTCAGTGTTGTAGTGCGACTTACTTGCCTAATTTTATTGCCACAGCCTCTTATAAACATTTTTGTTCCATCAACATCATTATATTAATCATTTAAATATTTTTGTTTATTTCACCATCATAAACAGACCCAAAAATCAATGCTTCTGATGAATCAAAAGCTTCAAGCTACATCAAAATAGCAAACGACTCCATTAAGTTTATTGAGCAACAAATGACCTGGGATGCAGCGAGAAAGAACTGTGAAGCTGATGGTGCCAATCTGGCCAGCATTCTGACTGAATGGACGCAGGCGTACATTGAGCTGCTGGCTATACATTTCAACCGTTCTTTATGGATTGGACTCAACAAAGCTCAGGTATGAATTAGACTCTATAAAGTTCAATGTGGTGTAGAAAGTCTTTAACTTAAATCTGTGTGGAGCGCAGATCAACTTAATTTCCATAAGTAAATCACAAATGCATCACTATTTCAATACCAAGACTTCAAATAAAGGATCTATCTGGAATGTGATTGATTTTTTTGTTTTGTTTTTGTTGTCCTTCATTACAGACCAACAATTATTTCAGATTTATTGAAGGCTGGCATGTTAAATTCTCACACTGGGCCAACAATGAACCACGTAGATATGGAACTTGTGTCTATGTGGATGTGGATGGAAAATGGAAAACTGGTAACTGCAATGAGAGCATCAGCAGTGTTTGCATGAAGTCAACAGGTAAAGAAGTAAAAACTCATTTTTAACAGTCACTTTACTCTTCAAATTTTGTTACATTTTGTAGATTTCTTTCTTCGAAAATATTCAGCTACCGATAATCTTTTTTAAAAACTACTTTGAAGTGTTAAAATTAATATCATCACTGTAAATTATCATTTCAGCTTATCAGGCCACATTCACCCAGTTGCATTGAAATCAAACACAGATCATTTAGTAGTTTAGGGTTAGGTATCTTTCCCAGTGTTTCTATTATCTATAAAATTTCACAAATCAAAATCATAAAAATAAATTAGCTAAGTAGAGACATGCCAATTAAAAGAAAAAAAAATCAATTAAAAGTTTTTTCGCCATGTCGTGTTATTCAATTTCATGACTTGCACACATTATTTGAAGCACAGCGATTAACATACGGCAGAGGAGAATGTACTTAAACTCACAATATTTGGATTGCAAGATGATAACTCTCCTTCTCAGACCTTGTCTTTGGCTTTCACAGATACGCCACCAACAGCAGACCCGAATGAAATTACAGGAGTTTGTCCAGATTCATCTGTTTCATGGCAGCGTGACTCCTGGATACCTTTTAGAGGATTTTGTTACCTATTTGTTTCTCACATAAGGAAATGGGCAGATGCAGCTACCACCTGTGTGGCACTTGGTAGGTTTTTTTTCTCCCCAAATATTTTTTTTGGTAATAAATTGTATAATTTCACAATAAAACATTGTTTTGTGAAGGTGGAAGCCTTGTGAGCATCGCAGATCCCATAGAGCAGGAATTCATACAAAGTAACATTGGATTATTTCAGGACAGATACACGTCTTACTGGTTAGGCCTGTTCAAAACTCATAGAGGTAGGCCACTTTTATTCTCTTATACGGACAAAACTTATAATCACTATCAAAATAAATCCATCCATCCATTTTTTAACACTCTTGTCCCCAGTGGGGTCGGGAAGGGTTACCAAAATAAAGTCTTAAATTAATAAATGAATACAAATACTTCATGGAATAGAACAAAAACACTTTTTTATTTTCATTTTTCTCAAGGGGAGTGGATGTGGTTGGATAAAACTGTCATGGATTTTGCTAACTGGGATATTGGCCAACCTGGTTATAAAAACTATGTGCTGATAAGAGCATCAGATGGGACATGGCACACAGGCAGTCAAACGAATGACAGACCATATATCTGCAAAACAGCCAAAGGTAAATGAGTCTTAATTAATTTTCTTCGGTTTGTGATCAATTTAAAGAGTCAGTATCTGGCTGATGCTGTTGTGTGGGATTTAAACATTTTAGAGTATGTCAAATAATTTCCAAACTTCCCCTTGTCTACTTTTTGTTTTTACTTTTACTATTGTATGCTAGTTTGTATGACTGAAAACAACTTATTTCTGCAACGGTCAGAATAAAAGAGTTAATATTTTGAGGAATGTCTATTTCATGCCAAATTAAGAGGTTATGTTATGTTTTCAGAAAACATTAGAAAGCTAAAATGGAAATGACACTGAATGGTTCATTCATATTCAGGTCAAACTGTGACGTACCTGTGAATGTATAATATCAAGGCACTACCTCAAACGAGCTGCTTAGTTGTGCAACGTCATGAGAAAAACAAACAAAAGAAATGAGGCAAGACATAATACAATAAATTGAAGGTTCTTCATCAATCTGTTAGAACTGTTACACTAAAGAAATTGTTCAACTGGAACAACTTTTACTTCCTGGAGATTAACATGTATTGCTGTGAAATGTTTCTATCAGAAGCAAAGAGCTTAGTAATTGTCCTGGCTTGTTATGATGAAAGGATAACCACCATGAGTTTCTTACTCAGACAGAAAGAGGTCATTACTTCAAGACCGACACAAATTTTAGATCTTTATGTTTGAATCCTGAAAAGCAGGAAAAGTTTGAAAAGTTCAATTTCAATACTTTCGGAAGGCACTGTGGATCGTATCATGAGGAAAAAACATCATGTGGAAATTTTGAAGCAACTTCTCAGCCATGAGGCAAGAAATAAAAGCTTGGACACAGATCATTCTGCCAAATAGCCAGTGACCTTAACCACACCACCTTGTTGAACACCACCTTTTGAAATTCCTTTTCCTTTCAAAAGAAAGATTTTGAACATGCAGTACCACTGATGGCCACTAGGTGCTGGATTCAGGAGACCAAGGAGATCAATATTTCTTGCTTTTACAGTATCCACATAACATGTGACCAGGCAATTTTGCCAGTGTTAAATTTGATCCTGTTGTTTGTCACATCAATTATTCATTATAACTGTAAATTTAGTTGAATTGTTTATTATTCTATTTCTCTGCAGTGTTGCCACCACATACATCACCCTCACCTCGTAAGTAATACAATAAACATGGCCAAAAAAAAGTCAGTCATCATTATGTTGCTTATAATGTAATCTTCAAATCTCTGCAGATGTTTTATTAGCTTCTCAGGATCGCAGCCGCATCCCTTTATCAGTTTTGCTCATTGCTGGGGCTGCAGTGGGGGGAGGCATCGTGTTTGTTCTCTTCAAGAAGTCCTGTCGTCACTTATCAAGTTCTAGGTTAGGCACCTTTGACAACCCTCTCTTCAGCAACAAACGGTTGGAGTTGGTTGACAATGGAAATCTAGAAGAGAATGGAGATTAAAAGAGCACCCAGACCTGTGATATCTTTACAAGTATAAAAATACAGATGAAATTCCCTGTTCAGTTTGCGTTCTTTCATAATTTTAATCATTTGCTTGATGAAATAATCTGAATGGCTGGGAAAAATGCAGGACATTTTGTGTAAAATGACCCAAAAAATTATGGAAGTAAAATGTTTTTCCTTGCCCACAAAAAAAAAAAAAAAAAAAAAAAAAAAAAAAAAAAAAAAATTGAGTTTATACTTCTTTAAATAAATAAAATAAGACTTTTCAGTTTGCCTGGTATATTTTTTTTCTCTGTATGCTCTAGTTTGAAAACAGGTTTATGTAAAAATTCAATATTGGCATCTACTTTATACTAGTAGCACACTAGTGCTACTAAATAAAAATATCAATTAGTCAAAATTACCTTACGCCTCCAGCTCTGCTTGAAATTTGCACACAGTCTAGTCAAAGCATTTATACGGACCTACAATATGCAGTATTTGACTCGTTTCAGTTTTTGTGAACATACTAGTTTAGTATGCTAAAAATTTGTTTTAACTTAGTGCCTTTTTTTAACATAGTAATTTTGTCATCTTACTAGTGAGCAAATGTTAATCTTATGAAACAATCAAAAAATAGTATGTGAAATGGCAACATAAATCAAGGTATTGAATAATCACATACTCAGCTTGCTGTACATGTTATAACGGAGGGTAGGGGTATAGTCCAAGCCTCCTGGCAGCCAAACCTCCAGTATCTTAAACATTACCAAACCGGTACAGTAAACATCAGCGAGTGTTCAAGCAATTTTGTCTTTGTGGTCCTTAAATATTAGAATCAATCAAAACTCAATTTAGAAAGTAAAAAGTCACACAAGGGCTCCTATACTTAAATAAAATGTCAGACAGCATATAATATATTTTAATGATTTTTAACAATAGAATACATATCTGTCAAAATGAACTTTTGAATGCTGTACAAAATTATATAAACAAAATAAATCTACAAAGCTATAATCAGTCTTGTTTACTCACTAAAGTCAGACTCATTAGGTCTACAGTACTGAGTAGTGTACTCCTCCCTTCATTTAAATAGCAAGGCAATTATGAAGTATGTACAAATGCATAGATTGTATTCAAGCAACATGTTTTATCACAACAAAATGCATAGATCATCCTGCATACAGAGTGATTAGTCATGCTTCCAGACAGACCAAATGCAAGACAGCAAATAGCTTCAGACTTTCCCAAAAGTAGAGCAGAAAATATGTTTTTATTAGGATTATATATATTTAAAAAAATATTTAGGATGTAATATAAAGCAATAGCATTCAGAGACAAATTAAAGTGCAAATGTGAAGAAACAAATTGTAATTCAAATATTTAGAAATATTTTTTTTTTTTGTACAATGTTGAAATTTTGATTTGCAAAATTTTACATGACTTCACTTTAAACCCAAATTCAAGCTAAAGATGAAATTCAAATATCTGCTACATGTAAATTAATGAGAAATTAGAACGTTGTTTGCTAAACTTTTCTATGAATGATTAGCTATTTCCAGTTCATTTTTTAAGTTCTCTTCACGATTGTTGTTTTGATTGAGGAAATTAATGATTTTTTAAATTTTTTGATCACTGATAAATGTATTGCCTATAGTGTTGATGATGTAGACTTGTAAAAGATATGTGCATTGTTTGTCATATTTGATCAATATATAAAAAATTGACAATAAAAATGGAATACACAAAGAACTGTTTTGTTATTTTCAGCCATGTTAAAATTACACTGAAGAAAACTTATTTGTCCAGATAAGCGTAAAAATAAGAAGAATCCCAAGCAACGTCAACGAAGATAAAAGTTGCTCATTTCTTTTTTGTAAAGGCTAAAAAATAAATGCATCTGGAATTATTCAACAATGTTGGACTGAAATTGCTTTTAGGTACAGATTTTTGAACATTATTTGCTCCAGGTATCAACACTGTCTCTACATCTAATTTATAAAGCAAACAGCATTGATTATGTCACAGTGCAAACATGCCTGTCGACAATGGTAGGTTTGTGCCAGACTAATAATAGACAAAATCTGCAAACCCAAATGTTACCTTCAGCCACAAACACAGCAGGCACATAATGTGAAACCTCCTAGTGCTTGAAGGATCATATTTTTCACCTCATCAAAAGGGAAACACAGTTTGACAAGCAAATCCACCTTTTGATGGTGTGAATTAGAATTTGCTTCTATTTTAGTGAAAGATAAAATGAATTAGGCTGTTTGGAGAGAACACTGTAGAGTTAAAGAGCAATAAACAGTATGAAAGAATAGTGTACATTCAAAAATGACTGTTTCACCTATGAGTGCATTATAAAATGGGAAGCATAAAACTGCATCAGCTTGGGAGTAGAAACATGTCAGTCATCCATGTAAGAATCTTTGTGCCACTGACGTGCTTCTCTGTCTCTGATTCGATCCCTGTTGCTCTCCCTGTCCTTGTATCTGTCTCTGTCCCGATCTCTACCCTGGTGGTTGTAGTTGTGATGGTTGTGTGCAGGATAGAGGTCTGCATGGTGTGTCCGTGTTGGGATATGCTGGTGATGCCTCTGATGTCGGTTGCGTTCGTTGTGCTCCTGCTCGTAGCCCTCCCTGTCATGCAGCTGGCCACGGTGGCGTTGGTGATGATGGTGATGATGGTGGTGGTTGCTACTGTGGTGGTGATGGTTATGTCCCCGGTGGTTGTAGTGTATTTCCTCCTCATCGCCCTCCACCACCACTTCCTCCACCTTGTCCTCCCTCTCCTCATACAGGGGTCTCCTTGGAGGCCTCTGGCTGTAATCTCTACCTGACTTCACATTCACGTCACCAGATTTGGCTGTGCTGTGCGTGGCTGTGGTGTTCCATCCGTCGGTGGTGGTGGTGGTGGTGGTGATGGTGGTGGGTGTGCTGCGTCTTTTTGGTTCTGTCCTCAGAAGTCGCTCCTCTTCTTCCTTTCTTTGGCCTTTTTCAACTCTGTCCTCCTGATCTGGGGCGGGTGGGGTCTCCTTGTCTGGGTGGTTCTCATGTGAACCCTTCCTCTTGGAGGCAGCCTGCTTCTTACTCTTCTGCTCATCCTTAAAGGAAAAGGACCAGATGAATATCATTTAACTAGTCACACAATAAAATTAAGTAACTTGCAATTCCAAATCACAGAGACGATGTGGAGAGATCAATGTGAACAATGAAAACAATGTGACGAAGATGGTGACAAATTTTCCAAATGATAAGATGGATAATTTTTATTTCCAGCTCAAATGTAAACTTTGACCTGGATTTCTTCTGGATTTGTTTAAAAGAACAAACATTCTTTTGTAAACGTGTTTAAACTATGGTTAAATCCTCACATGAGTAGAAAACCGAGACTTTCAGTTGCTTCCATTAACTGTTAATAGTTTACATAACCGCTGGTCAGCTCACTGAGATAATCTATTCTGGTGACAATGGCTGTCATTATGTGGGCAGGCTTAAATAAAATTATTTCGATCAAGCAGTCATCTAACTATAATAGGCTACAAATTACAGACATTACATAAAAGCACGTATTTGAGGTTCTACATTTTTTCCATAACTAAAAAACGATTACAGTAATATTTCAATAACTCACTCACCAGTTGTTGGCCTATTTCATTTCTTCTTCAACTTTGCATAGTAATAGGATGAGAAGACATGAAATTAAAATGTTAGGTGGACTGGTGGAAACATACAGATGAAGCAAAAATAATGTTAAAAAAAATCTAAAGTTTCTCTAAATTTAAACAAATATCTGTACACATCACATGAATGAGATGAAGTTTGATGAAATGAGGTGATATAAAATAGTATTTTTTATATTTCTGTATGTTTTCACTGTATAAATTGTGTTTTATGCACCGGTACTGTTGCTGGAGAGGCAGGCAATGTGTTTCTCAGCCAGCTGTGCTACAAGTGCATTTGAAGGCTCCATCTCTGCCGGATGCGTTGCTTTCCAGTAAGATTCAAGGTAATCCGCGATGTGCTCACAGGCATCAGTAAGCTGGTTCTCGTCTAATATGACATCAAACATTTCCTACAGACAATAAATGGTGAGAAAGAAATAGAACAAACATGAACACCTGGATGCATTGGAGAGCATAGTAAATGTGTGTTAGAATGTTTAATGCAGGAGTAAGTTTACTGAAAACTATAGCTGTACTGTGTGTGTCTACAACTATGTAGAAAAATTAAATCCAGAAAAATTAATACAGCAATGAATAGAACTTCACTGGTGGTCAAGTAAGGCTGGATTTAAGACTGATAAAAAAATCCCTCAAAAAACAGGATTTGTTATTTTACTGCATGTTAAGGCTACTCAGCATTGATTTTAACAACGTATCAAACTTGAAGATTAAAAAATGACTTGACATCATTACACGGCATTAACCAGATCTTTATCTCTTGAACAGAAAAAAAAAGTTGTTGTAGTTTTTAACAATTTCCAGCAGATGGCGCTCACCGGCGGACACTGGGCCAGCTTGTCTGCTGCCACAAGTTGGACATTAAGATGTTTGGTTCGAGATTTTCCTCTTGTCTTGATAAGTCTTGTCAGCACCTACACAAGGCAAAATAGAACACAACTTTAAAAAAAAAGTAAGTATCCAGTTTTTTTTTACCAATACAGGGCAAAAAGTACAGATTTAGAGAAATGCATTCTATCAGGATGAATGACTTATGAAACCTACTTTTGGTGAAGATATCTTCACATAAACAAGAATTGGAGCAAGCGAAGTCTTGGACACTTGCAGTGGATGGTTAATTGTGTCTGCATCCAAAATGACAAGCTGCATGCTCCGGGCCAGCTCAAATATACGCTCCACCTCCCCTTGGATCTGGGCTGCAGAAACAGAAAATGTAAACTTCCAACTCTAAGACAACATAAAATATAGATGATGTAACAAGATCTCCCTGGAAAACCCTAAATATGACAGCACACATATTGAGACTGGCAACAGTAGGAATGTTCTAGATCTTTATACCTTTATTCTCATATTTTATATTATTTTATACTATTATAGAAAAACTGTTACAGTAACTAAACAATTCAATGATAATAATAAATTTAAAAAGTTGCCTTATTCTTGAATAAATGTTAATTTGCTGTGAAGATTACTTTATGTTTAAATCTGTTTAACACTTCTTTCAGCACATACAAGAGTATTAAATTATTTACAAAAGATTTTCTGCTTTACTTGAGCTTGTAAAAAAACTAATAAACAGAGCAAATGACAAATGACATAAGAAATAAAAAGCATGTAAAAAATAGCATGTTCTACACAACAAAAGAAAACAAGACCTTGGCAACTTTCACCAAAAGCCTAAATATTTAGTTTTTTGTTCTTATTATATGTATAATTTCTTCCCACCACAAAGGTAGATGCATCAAGATTTCTTCAACTCATGGCAGGGGTAATATTAAAGTTGTCCACTAGAGGGAGAGCGGGAAAGGACATCAAGTTTTAGTCCTAAAACATATCCGACAACCCACTCACACAAAAGCACTTCAATGCACTTTGGCTACATATTTCAAAGCTGTACAGGATGAAGTCAGTTTTTGTGTACATGGAATATAAATGAAGCACAGAGAAGTGAGAGGGTAGCAGCAGCTGATACAAACATGAGATAAATGAGAACAGAAAGGAGGTGGAGCTGTCAAAAACACAAGGACAACCAGTGCTTTCAGTCGTACATACCGGCAGCATCTGGGATGAGACGGCAATGAGAGAGACAAGAGAAAAGCAAGTAAATCTTATCCCTGCTCTTGTTTTAACTGATTTCCTCCTCTATTGAAATGGGTAGAAAGGGTCAGAGGGTAGACAGGGAGACGGTTGTGACTATTCTACAGTATAAAGATAAAAAACAAAAAAAACATCTGCTTGGTTTGAACAAGATGAAACTTCCTAAAACCAGGAAGTTTTCTAACTGACTGAGATTGTGCTGGTTCTGATAGAAATATATGAGAATAAGCAGAGCATAGCAGCAGCAGCAGATCTGTTGATGCTGTTGTTAGGTCTGATTGACAAGCATTATCCTTTTAGCCATGAATATTTGCAGTAAATATATTTTGTAGCATGGTGAACCTGCTAAAAACAAGTAACTATTGTTTAAAACATTTATTACATCCACTATGTCTGGAAGATAAAAGCAAATAACGTTTCTCTTTAGTCATTTGCTTCTCAAAGCAGGAACATGCAAGCTAAAAGTTTCTGAGCAAGAAACAAAAAAAAGCATCAAAGGTCTCAAAGCTCTGAGGATCACAGTCAGATTAGGAACCCACTCAATCCACTCAAACCAAAGTAAGCCTGATCTGTGGAGGCTACAGGCTAGTTATTCACTATGGTGTTAGTGGCAAAGCAGCTTTCATGAGACATTCGGTAAAAGCAAAGTCACAAAAAGTCTATCTCTACCTTGGACACTTGCATCAGAAAAACCGTGACTCATTTGGAGTCTGGGTTTTCTAGATTTACTAACGGTTCTCTGAAACATCCTTGCAATAACCCACATCTCTGAGATAACAGTACAAATATACTTAAAAGAGTAGAACACCCATCATGGTTCCAGATTTAGGATATGCTTGATTTAACTTTGTGGCAACTCTGTGTATTTAAGGCAAAAACTGAGCAGCAATGTAAGCCAAAAAACAAAAATAGCTTTGACACATTCATCTCAAATTAATTTAGATAGTATGAGAAAAAATTAATTAGGACTTTAAAAATATGGGGGATGCCACAAGGGAAGTCAAGTTTTCCAGAAAGCAATTATATTAACTTGTTTTGGAATTGATTTAGTTGTCTTTTCCATGATTGAAGCTATTAGAGTTGTGTTTTTTCCATGTATTCCTATTAACATGAAAGAGTTCCCCAGGATAATTAGTGCTCTGCACTGCTGGATGATAAACTACACACCTAAATTAGAGCGTGTGTTGGACCGGTCCATTAAGGCCTTCTTGCCAGGGTTATTGAGAATAGAGCGTTTAGCCAGCGAGATGTCAGCCGTCACCCTTGTAATAGTGATTCTGAAAAAAAACACACAAAAGAACAAGCATCTTTATGAACAACTTTATTAAGTTTTACTGTGCATAAAAACAGGTTTGACAATGACAAAGAAGAACTTACCTTCCTTCAAATCTGTGTTTTAGAAAGTCAAAAAGTGCTTTTTGCATCATGTCGGTAACCTAGAATTACACAGAAAATAATAATTCAGCTCGACAGCTTGTTTTTGTCGGTGCCATACTGACTTGCTTAGCTGTTAGCTGATAATTTACAAACTTCTTGCAATTATCAATAAGTATGCTCTCTCTTTGTTTTTCTTTGTTTAGAACATACAATTGACCTTGGTCATTTTCCTGACTGGAGCTACTGACAGAGCTTTGCATTTATATTTGCATACTTGTTCTTTTTCTTTCCAACAGATCCGACCTGATGTTTCCTTTTGTGTTTAGCTGAATCTCCTATTTGGATTTCATCATTGACAAAGCTTTAATGAATTCCTTTGTATTTTCTCCCCCCGCCCCCACACACACACGCACATTCAAAAAGGTACTGCAGTACACATATTGAGACTGGAAATCGTGTTTCCTCTTTTGCTCAGCCTGTTTCTGCTGGATAAGATTCCTATTAAACAGAAGATGCTCCTCTCCAATACCGGAAAATGCTTATTCTTATTGAATAGGCATTTTATTTATTTTGTCATCATTTAATTATTAAAAAAAAAATTATTGAATTAGATTGTACATACTAGAATCTAAATATGACTATATGATGAGATGTAATTGGAAAAATCTGGATTTATTTCATTATTTGCTATGAATGAACCCTGTTTGTCTTCAGGTGACAAATGTTATATTTTGCTAAAATTATTGAGTTGAATCAAGTGTCAGAAGAAACTCACATCTAAGCCCTTTAGTGATGGACCCATCAGAACCACTGGTCGCATTGTTGGCACAACATCGTACATGGCTACCTGTTCCCCCTGTAGGCACAAACACATTGTATGGTTTGAATGAAGTACATCCATTTTGTTACTGTTATAAGAAAGTTGCATTTTGTCAGTCTCTCTCAAAAGCCTTAGTTTGTGTTTTAAATAAGCAGGAAAAAAACAATATATCTAACAATATTTTTGACATTGTGTTTTCTGCAAAGAAGAAAAAGCTAAATTTGAATCTGTTGAATTTTCTTGTTCCTTTACTAACCCTGCTCTGTGTCCAAGATCTGAACTAAGATGCTAAATAAGCAAATTGGTTGGTGATGCAGTTGCAACGTGTCAGCCATTTGTCAACAGACCCACCAAACATTTTTGTTTTTAGTCTCTTATTTATGACGTTAGACTAAATCTATTTTCATTGTAACCAAACATGGAGGAATAGGAATCCCATTATGGGAACTGAATACTTTTATACTTTAAAATAAAGTATTTAATATGTATGTACTAAGACAATGCATTGTCATTAACAATCCTTATTGAATGGATCCAGGCATTTCGAGACAGAAATCTGTGTTTAAGAGGAACATTTTAGAAATACCAGATTTATTTACCTGAAGTCCTCAAATCTGATGTGTAAAAAATGTGAAGCAAAACATTTGTGGTTCCACAACAGTTATACAATTTAGCTTTGTCACTTACCGGCTTCTTTTTCACCTGCTGGTTGGCTGCTCACACAGAAAAAAAGAAGCCATGTTAATTAATTATCATTCAGGATATATTTTACCCATTTTGTGCATTTAGTCTTATTCGGTGCACAAACTGACCTTGTGAAGGAGGAGTGTATTTCTTTGAGTTCATATCTTGAGCTACTTGAGATGCTGCTTTGCTGAAACAAGAAATGAGTCATGAATTTTCTCACAGAGGATGATAAAAGTTCACCGCTTTACTCATAAGGGTCTACAGTCAGTGCTCAATAGGGACGGAGTGGGTTACACCTCAGATTGGTCACCAGTCCATCACAAACAACTGTTTACATACACATGAATACACAATTAACCTAACAGTCATGCCTGTGTTCATAAATAAAAAATACAAAAATAAAACGCAATAATATTTTAATGCTTGGACCCTACGTCTATTTGCTAATATCAGATATATAACTCTCTTTGTTAAAATTTTTCAAGGTGAATTTTACTCAGTTAGAGAAAAGATTACTAGAAAAATGAACATAATGAGAAGTATAATGACTTAAACTTCTCTAAAGCTGCAAATTCCTCATTAACAACTGGGAAGGGGACTCAGTTTAAATTTGGTTTTGTCTTCCCACTGATGTGCTGCTGGCTTGTTTTGAGGGATCATTTCCACAGTTAAGATGTGTTGTTTTGTAACAGGTTTGCAGATTTTTATCCCCAGTGGTTCTTCTAGGTTGATCCTGGTTATCAATTAAACCAGGAAACTGAGTCTGACTCTTTGGATTAGGAAGATGCACAATTTTCTGGTACTATCAAATCTCAAATACATTTTATAACATTTGTTTTCCGGGACCCAAGTGAAATGAACTAGTATTGATTTAATAGAATATCTTCTTTAACACATTGGCTTTTGGTTCCTTCCTTAAAAAAATTAAGCAATACTGCTTCAGTCAAGCAGTACTGTGTACCAACCTGGCCAAGGCCTTGGCAGCTTTTCTGGCTTGGACTTCTCTTCTGATAAGAATGGTTTCCAGGTTAACCGGACTGGGGACGAAGCCCACCACCCCATCCTCCTTCACCGGCCGTCCGATCCACCATTCATTGTTAAATTTCTTCCAATTGCAAAGCAAATCAAACAAGACATTGAACTGTAAATAAAAAAGTTTAACACGGCTGTTCCCCATAGTTATTAATCAGTGTTAACTATAGAAAATGCATTATATGTCATATCTATTATAATGCATATGGAACAAAGCTTAATAAAACCAAGTTTTTCTGAAGACAACAATATTGTATGCATGTCAGTCTGTGCTGATAATTTTATTTTATTTTTTTCATCAGTACATGTTGGCCGTTTTTCAATGCATACCTCTTTGACATGCAGGAAGTCTTTGGCCTCAAATGTGACAGCTTGCCCTGGTACAGGGACGTTGTCGTCGTCAGCTGGCATATAAGAGAAGTTGCAACGTACAGCAAAGGCCACAGGCTTGTACTGAGGACATAGATCAGGTGTTATAGATATTTAAAACAAGAAGCCTAAATGTGGAAGAGGGAGAGCACTATAGGTGTAAAAATGAACGAAGGCTAAATTTGATATATATACTTCAGTTTTACTCTCATACATTAGCCTTAGCAGAGCTAAGGCTAAAGTTGCAAGTAGCATCTGTTATATTCACACTATGACAAATGAGCATGTCTGCAGTGAACAAAAGTGTATTGTGTCTTTATCTTTGCTGTAGGTTCGCCACTGTCACAACATTGCTGACTTGAAAAACGTGTTTCTGATGTAATCCTATAGAAGTCAAATATCAGTAGCATAACGATCAAGCTGCTAATTACTTCACTTTGGACAGATGAGGCTTTAGAGCCAGCAGAGTTACAAGCTGGGGAAATTTTGCATGTTAAGAGTACATTAAATCTGTGAGAGTACATTAAATCTGTAACGGATGATCTCAACAGGACATATCAGCAGGGGTTGCTTAGCTGGCAAAGACAGGCCCACCTTAAAGTCATAATGATCATTACAGATGTAACTGTAATAAAAAAAAATTATAGTTACATCTAATAAAAAAAAAAAAAAGTAAGCTTATTGCCTCATGTTTGTCACTCTATGGCAGAGTTGTTTAAAATCTGTCAGTTGAAATACATGAATTGATGAAGTGAACTGAATCAGGAATAATGAACGTTCAATATTCCTTTCTGTGATGTAATTTCCTTTTGGACAGTCTTTCTGTACATCTACTCTGCATGGTAGAAATGAAGGAAATTATGCAACAGCTCAACACTACCTTAGCCTTTTCCAGCTGCACCTGGGCGTTTCTTTCCTCAACGATATCTGAGTCCTGACGCTCTCCCTGCAAACAGAATATAATCACAATGGTAAGTGGAATGTGTGGAGTTACATAAAATTATTTACTGTCACCAAAATACATAAGGACATTTTTGTGCAATGTCTTATTAATTCTGTAACTTTTGCATAGAGTTAACTACTTTATCTTCAATCAATTAAACTCATCATGCTTAATTTACTTAGTAAGATGACACTGAATGCACCTGTTTGTTAACGCAAGGCAACAAATAATCAGATAACTTCGTGGCAAGAAATTCAGGTTCATCCGAGAGATGAACCTGGGATTTTTAAATTCCCAAATTAAACAGTAAATAAAGCCAAAGTACCAAAACATAATGTAAAAAACTGAACATTCAAAAAATGAAAAGAAACAGTATGTCAATACTAAAACTAACAGAATCAAGATAACTCCAAAACACATTGGAGTTACTGATGTTGTCAGCATGTGCAATTGAACTCAAATAAAAAATAAAAAAAGACAATTTTTGTCATTATTTGGGGGTTTAAACATTTAATACTGAACTCTGTCCTAATTGGGAGTTTAACATGTGCACAGTCTTTGCAGTATCCACTGCACACCATTGCCTATGTGCTGATTGTTGATAGTATATGTAATTATCTGTCTTTTTTTTACAACACAAAATGTGGAAAACCAATCCTCTGTGTTGGTCAAAGACAATTAGTCTTTATAAAATGTTTTAGACCGATTGAATGCTTTACTGACAAACTTTTGACTTAAGAAAGTGTCCTTGAATCACTTTAACAATCTCAGATCAATTTATCTTGAAACGCCTTGTCTTTAATTTTCAGCAAGTGTTGCCACAGATTCCCTGCCGGGATGCTCCAGTTGCTGTGCCATGTCTCTCAGAGATTAGATTGTCCTCTCAAAGACATGGCAATTAATGGCTTTTGTATCATAGCCACGGGGATGGCACAGCCTCTAGTGTGCACTCAAGATATTCACTTAAATCCTATTGTCACAAATCACCTCCTCAGTTTCAACAACAGCTTGGTGTGGTGCGTTTTAACACAACACTGTGTCCTTTCATGTTAGTTGGGAGAATTTGGCTGTGTCACAAATTAAAGCTGTTGCCCTCTTTAAGACATTACCTGTGAAAACGATGATATACACAAAGCAAAAATTATTTCTGCCACCTCAAAAAAAAAAAAAAAAAGTTGCACACCAGCTATCACTGCATGGTAATACAAGTAGTTAAAAAGCGATGTCATTAGAAGTTCAGCAGATGCACAAAAGTGGAAAATGTTAAGCAGAAAAAAACTTTCACTTTTATATTCTCAAAAATAAATTATGTCAAAAAACATTAACATTATCAGAAAGGACACAGAGAGGAAAAGTAAGAAAATTCCCCTGGGACAAAATTATGCCCATTCATGGGTTTTTGTTTATCCAAGCCTGGTGCAGACATCTGTTCGCACAGCACTTGCCTCTTCTGAAAGCCAATGTCACCCGGCCAACAGTGCAAAACAGCCCCACCAAATTAGATATGTCTTTTTTTCATTTACATGTAGTCATAGTTAAAAATTATTCATTCTTTTTATTCACTGGATGTAAAACGAGCCTCATCGGAAACTTGCTCAACCTCATGTTTAACAGACACCAGTGTTTGGACATGGCCTTTAAAAGGCAACAAAAGGAAAAAGAGAACAAAAGAGACAGCTAGCTGATGCTTTAAAGTCACTTGAACTCTGTCTCCCATTCTGTCTACGTCTTCTCCGACTGTGTGCTGTTTTGAGCAACTTTGAGCACCTCCCCAGTAGCAGCTGACAGGGACAGAAACCTCTGGATTTATTTTACTGTTGTACACAAAAAAATAAGACAACCTCTTATTGAAGCAAACTGAAACAACAACAACACATGCATGAAAAAGTATCTCTGGCAATGAAAGCATAAGCGAAGTAAAGTGAAGGACAAACATAATGTGAGCAAGTAAAACTGGATTCCATAATGTTCAACCAGAAGGTGACTCCTTTTCCATTCAAAAGTGTTTACACAGCTCTTTTGGTGTATGCCAGGAAAGTGCATTAGGAAGGAAGCCTCACATTGGGAAGATGAAAGTCCCTAATAGGAAATAATCAGAGGAGCCAACTGGCTGACCTGTAGCACTGCCATTCCTTAAGAGGGCGAACTAAAATGCAGAATGGGTCTTTAAGAAATGCAAACATAAGGGCTATTGCTACATTAAAGATAATAGTAGTGGGTATGCCTTTCCTGGTCAATTTCAAAGTTCAAAAAAAAAAAAAATCAATCTTGAATCTGGTGTCATCACATTAGAATAGTAGGAGACAATGACTTTGGTATTCATTGATTCCTGAAGTTGTGAGACACAGCCTCTCCAATGTGGGAAAGAAAAATACTTAAGTGCTTATTTCACACCTAATTTTGACCACCTCACCTTTCGTCTTCTGATTTGCATACTTTACTATAATTTCTTTCCGGTATTCCTCTTCAGTTTTCATGAGTTTTATTATCATTAAGTCCAAAATGAGTTTGCATTTCTAGAAAAACAGGTTACCAAAAACTAGTAAAGCAAAACTTCTGAACCTTTGGGTTCAGTGAAGGTTTGAAGGCAAATTACAATCAGTTGTAGAGTTGTCTACCTAAAGATAGTTTTCTTGTTGCACACTAATTTAACAGATGGGGAGATGTTTCCATAGCAACCATTCAGAGAAATTTGTCACCTAAACACAAACATCGCCCACAGTAAAAGCTAAATCTATCACAACTCATCAAAAAAGCATTTCTCATGAAGAAATTTTAGACCTTTAATTCATACTGCATGCTGTTTGGAGTATGAATTAAAGTATATAAAGTAATATCCCTTTAAAGCTACTGTGCATCGGTACATTAAATGTGTGTGAACTCTGTGTTTGTGTAGCTGGTTGTTTGTCCTGTGTGTCACCCTATGTTGCCCTGTGATGGACTGGCAACCTGCCCAGGGTGTATCCTGGCTATTGACCACTGGTCATGGATTCTAGCGCCCCCGTAATCCTGCAAGGACAAGTCGGTACAGATCATGGATGGACGGACGTTTTAGCTCTACAGATATTTTACAGGAAGTTGATGCATCAACAGATGTTTGTCAATGCTTTTCTATTTTAAAGTCAGTGCAACAGTTTACTAATCTAATTGTGACTAATATAACCCATAAGTTGGAAGTAAGCCCAGATCTCTGGATATGATTGTCTTTCTGCATCAAAGGGAGTAATTTTTTATCTGATTTCAGTGGTGCTCTTACTGTCCTCTTATTGTTCATCTGCCACTCATTAACGTTTGGTGAATTATTCCAAAGACTGTGAGGATTTCTTTGCCATGTAGTCATTTGGTCATTAATAATTGCTCATTTGCATAATGTGTGCTCTCCAATACACTTTTCTCCAAACCCTGTTTCATCAGCTGCCTTACATAATTACTGAAGGAGCCTGGCTCTGTGCCCTCCTTTGGAGAAGATAAGGCAGCTTTCACATAACATGTTAGATATCCTACTACTCATGTAAACAATTAGCAAACTGGCTTTTACACCTTGTTTGATATTAGTGCTTTTTATCATTACTATTTATGTATGTTTCTTTCAGAAGGAAGTAGTCTGTAACACATCTAACAGGTCAAATTACTAAAATACACTCATGACCTGTAACATTTTAATCAATGCCAAAGAGTGTGTTGGTCCTTTACCTTTGTTGTCCAAACAGGCCTAAACAGTTAACCACTGATGTGTGCTAACTTAACTACTGCCAAGAAGTTAGCAGCAGATCCCTGGAATCCTGTTAGATGTGAGGTTAGGCCTCTGTATATCTAACTTGATTTTCGACACTTTTAATTGAGGACAGGGAATTTGGAGACTGAGTTAACACTTCATATACCAACGCAAGGTCATAAAAATATAGTAATGTTATTGTTGCGTGCAGAATCACTAACTTTATACATATTACTAAATCTTGTCAAAATGTGTTGAAAATATAAATATATAAAACAATGACTAAGTACATTCTCTTTGCTTTGAAAACTTTTTATAGTTTCCAATATTACTGTTATCATTGCTTTGTTATTCATCAGAAAAAAATATAAAAATGTAACCAAAGTCATAGCACCAGAGACAGAGTAATGATTAAAAAATCTTCTAGGAGAAAGGTTGTGTGTGTCCTAAGCCTTCTCTCTCTCACACATTTTCTTCCTATGTCTGTCTGGGTCTCTGATTGTCTCTGTGTAAGGAGATTAAGATAGCATGCGTCAATCTAGGATTTAGGTCCAAAGAGACAAATGCAAATTCCACATAGACTTCCATCCCTGCTTCCTATGACTATGAGCCCACAAGTTCAAGCTCCATCATCACAGACAGACACAGAATCCATTAACTGTATCAATATAAGTTAATGTTTGACCTTTGGCCGTTTTAATAGATATAGTTCTGGACGTCCCTCATCTCTGCACATGATACAGTGTGATGTAATATGGCTGGAAAGAGGGAGGTCTGTTTCTTTGTATGGATATTAGTAGGAAAAATAAATCTTATTCTTCTTAGAAATAATTTCCAATTATATTTGAACTACTTGTACCTGAAACTATCTGCAACTCAACTGTACATTACAGTACAGTTGAGTTGTACTATAAACTAACAGACAGCCAGCTCTAAAGTCTTATTGCTCTACTTTATGCTTGGGAGTAGAACAGATAGTGTAATACCCCAGTAACAACTACTAAGAGGCTTTTCCTATTCTAAGGAACAAGCAGTGGGCCAAACCTGCTGCAATCCAAAACAGTAGGCCATCCAGCGACATATTTTTTTATTCATTTATTTTCTACCTCTTTATGTTTGTTAAACTTGAAGTTAAGGCTAGTTAAGGTTAGTGTCTAAGGCTAAACAATATGAAGAAGTAAAAGGTTGAGCAAATGTCACTTCAACAATAGAGAGAGACTTTGAAAACAATGTTTGTGCTGAGTTCAGTGCAAGATCATTATAAATTAGCTTACTGAGTAAATAAATC